TAATTTTTACATGTTGTTTTTTGGCGGGTAAGTAAAAATTAAAATTTTCCAGTAAACAACCTTTTCTGAAAATATCCTCAAAGATTTAAGTTTTTAAATCAATAATTTCATTATAATTTACCAGTTATATAGTATATTCCCTAATAATTTACAAAATTTCATATTTGCAATTTATTTGTTACAATAAAGTTATTGAAAAAGGAATTTTTTGTTGACAATTATTTCCTGTAACATCTAAAAACCCGATGAGTTTTGATGGAAGTTGAATTTTTTTGTTGTCAGCAAAACAAATACCAGATAGTCGAAACCATTTAAGGTCTATTAATATAAACATGTAAAGTATTTTTATCCTAAAACTTTATATTTAGGTTTTGTTAAATATTTAAAAACACTTAATAAAAAAAGAAGAAATTCGTAAATTTTCTAAACGCACATAGATATTAATTTTAAATCCCCATTAAATCAATTAAGGAAAAATTTGTAAATAACTTCAGCTAATAAAAAAAAATACATAACTTAAATAATATTTTCAACTAATTAAAATGAATAAACAATCACTTGGTTGGCATCTAATGGTGCACATAATTATATACGTCACGATATCAAGAAATAAGAAAAAAACTAGTGTGGTGTGTGAACAAGCGAGGCGGCGGTAGTACTTCTTAACAAATGGCAATACATGAAAAACGTAAGTTAATTGAGGAATATTACAGCATGCGAATTTTGTACAAAACACCCTACTTCAATTTAGTTGAAGTATATATTCAGATGGGGGTCTTATATTAGTTGCTAGATAAATTAAAGCAATAATGTTAAAATTGCAATAATTGCTATACATTTTAAAAATTCAATATGTAACACAATTTTTCTATAGAAAAATATATGATATTGAGTTGTTATAAATTTACAATTAAATAATTAAGTTGAATAAAGTAATTTTTCTTAATTAATTTATAAAGATCTAAAAATATAAAACAGATTAAAAATGTTTTAAATCAGATAAATAAGTTTGTAATCTAACTTTGGATTAAAGAAGATAGAGCGCTGCGGTATCTGTTCCGAAGTTTGAACATTTTCAGGAGAAAAATTTACATTCATCAGCAGAGACAAAGAAAAAAGTACTATTCTGCAATATGTTTTTAAGTCACACTCCTCTCTAAAACTATATACATATGCCTTCTACGGTATATAAAGTTTTAGAGAGTTACTTATTAGATTGATTACACATGTCAACAAAATTTAAAAAAAAGTTGAAATGTTTGGATTTCGACTATTTTTAAAGGATTGAGCATCGCTAAAAAGAGTTTCTCCATAACATTGGGTTTTCCAGATACTTGACCCATTCACAATCGGCGTTGTAGCGTTGTATGTTATATTGTTTATTATAGGTTTGCTATCGAAACAAAAACAATAAAAAACTACGACATACAACGCTACGAAGCCGATTGTGAATTGGACAACTATGTCATAAAGATTGAAAAGCCCCCCCCCCCAAAAATCCAAAATTTAAAACAACTATAAGTTTCAAAAAATTAGATTTTGTCTTTATTTTAGGGCAAAACATTTCAAGGTCATTCACTGCAACACAACATCGATTTAAAGATATATAACACTGACTGAAATAAATAAAATAATATTCCAGAAAATTCAAATATTTCAGAATTTCATTCAGAATTTTCCAATTATATATCAGACATTTCTAATTATATTTCAGAAATTTCCAATTATATATCAGTAGCGCAATTCTGTATTTTTTTAATTTTAACTACCGATGTCGTAAAGTAACGGCAAATATCGGTTGCATTAATGAATTTTCAATTCTCTATCTTTTTAACGACCTTAGAATATTTTAACGACAAAGATCGGAAAAATATGAGAATGTCAAATGTTCTGAAATATTTTTAAAATATAAAATTATTAACGTGAACTTTTTATTGGTTACTTGGTTACATTGTCGATACTTTTCGTTAACTAATGATTAGGTTTAACGAAAAAAATCTGTGAAATAAAAGTCAGAACACCACATAACGACAATTATTGTTAACTTACGAATTTTTACTATTTAACGGCAAAATATTGTAGTTAAAAAGTTACTGAATTGCGATACAGAAATTTCTAATTGTATATCAGAAATTTTCAATTGTATTTCAGAATTTTTCATTTGTATTTCAGAAATTTCTAATTATATTACAGAACTTTGAAATTGAATTTCAGAAATTTCCAATTATACATATATCAGAAATTTCTAATTGTATTTTGAATATAATTAGAAATATTTGAAATATAATAAGAAATTTCTGAAATGCAATTTCAAAGTTCTAAAATTCAATAGGAAATGGTTTAATGGTCTAACAAATAAATTAAGTGCTTAACTTATCGAATATCAACGAAAAATATTCTTGTATTATGGATATTAGTAAAATCCTCTAAAACTCATGTTTTTTTATTTTTTCTCGAGCACATTATTTTTAGAATGTATATCATATGAAAGGGCTTCGAAATATCTTTTTGTTTTTGATATATGTATGCATTTATATATTACCCAGATAAATAAACTACTCTCAGATAGGTTGAAGTTTGTAATTCTGTTTGTAATACATTATATAGTAATTCGATATATTATAATATAAAGATTCTGATTATGTTACAAATGGCATGACAAACTTTACACCAATGGCTAAGACAATGGAAAATTAGGCTTAATGAGCAAACATATATAATCATATCGTTACCTAAAACGCTAATGACTCTATCGAACTCAAGAACAACAAGTTGCATATGAAGCTGTGTGTTGTTATTGTTTTGTTATTGACAAAATCAGGGATGGAAAATTGTGTGTGTGGAAATTTAGCGGAGATGGAAAAATTAAATATGCCAATATTATTTGAAACTCTGGTATCAAGGACTATATTTTTTGGTACTTTTTCGTTTTTTAAACCTTTAAACCCTTTTTAAAACCTTCCAAAAATGACTTTAACGCTCATAACTGTATAAAAGAAGCATCTATAGCGGTGAAATTCGGCATAAACATGTTTTATGGGAACCTAAATCTCTTTATAAAATTTTATAAGCATCGGCCCATAATTGATCCTACCTGCCATATAAGGTCCCCTTCAGAAAATTACTTTAACGCTCATAACTGTCTAAAATAATCATCTATAGCGGTGATATTCGGCATAAACATGTTTTATGGGAACCTGAATCTCTTTGTAAAATTTTATAAGAATCGGAACATAATTAACCCTAGTCGCCTTATAACGTCCCCTTAAAAAATACTTAAACCCTGTCTTAAAAATACGACTACAGCGAAGAAATTCGACATAACTAAGTTTATTACAATCTAAAATCTCTCTATCAAATGTTATGAAGATCGGTTTATAATTCATCCTATCCCCACTCAGAAAATTACTTTAACTCTAGCTTAATAATAGCAGTGTAGTGATGAAATTTATCACAAACAAGTTTTATACCAACAAAAATCTCTCTAAAGGCCCTATTCCGAAAATCATTCTATATTAATTTCGAATAGTAAAATTCAGCATATATCAAATTTACGGCACAAAATTTGATGGTGGGTATATCGGCAAGGCCGAATATAACACTTTTACTTGTTGGTCATTCAAATGACATTTTTTTGATTTTCTAAATTATTGAACCTAGAATCATACTTATAGGACCCTGATAAAAGGAAAATTTATAAGAGTAAACATTTTGGTACTTTTTCGTTCTTCATTTGGTACTTTTTTAATCATTTTTAATATTAAACCTAGAAACGTAAAATTTTTCGTATCAGATTTTCAGATATTTTGTCTCAAGTTTGAAAAAAACATTTTGGCTGTATTTAAGTCGTAATAACAGGGCAAAGACACCCATTATAATGTTTGTTATATCATCTGAAAGTCCAATTTGTCGACATTAATATAAACGTTTAACTTTTAATATAAACGTTTTAAACTTTGGGTTAAGATATCTCAAAGCGGAAAGAACATGGGATATCTTAATCTTAAAATTAAAACAACTATAAATTCCAATAAAGTATTTTTAGGGGAAATTGTGACAATAAGTTTGTCATAACACAAATGCGGAATGTAGTTAAAGTCAGTTTAACTAAACTTCAGATTAAAATAGCTCGAAGGAGAAAGAAAATATAACAGAGGAGAGACCCTTATTTTAAACTTGAGAGATTGGAATTTTATATGGCATAACAAATTTTATAAATATAATGTCAAAAAGGGCGTTTTCAATCTTAGGATACGATATGTGGAACTTGGTGTGATGGAGAAATTCTGAGGAAAGATGCCGAACATTTAGAAAATAATATATTGGTTTATGGGTTAAAAATTTGTTGACCTGTATTATTAAGTTAATCCCTGTTTAAGTAAGCGATATCTATGTGGATCTTAAATAACTTTTCTATTACAACTTATATAAAGTGAAAATATCAGATAAAATTAATATGAACTTCATCTAACGAAATGTATGTATGTTTACGCTCTCCTACTCACTTATTGTTTGCTAGCCGTAAATAATTGTTAAGGAATTACGTATATGAATCTGGTTTTATAATGAATAATTCGATTTTTTATTGTCAGACTACTACAAAAAAACTTGTTATCTTTATATGTATTTCTTTTTGATTTTATTCATGTGCATTTTTATAAATTAATCGTAAAATATTATTTCGATCGCAAGCATGTAAAAGTGAACATTAAACCTGCCCTAAAAATCACTAGCTTTTGGAGATGTTCAAAATTGTTATTTAGCGCGAAACCTAGATTCAAGCTTTAGTGTTATGGTCTAGTAAAATGGGTATAACTGGGCAAAGTTGAGATTTTATATAAATTGGATAGGTTTTAAATGGTTAATAACAAGTTTTTACTCATCCAAGCGAATAAGTGATTTTGAAAACTTCTTTCTCATACAACGAAGTGCAGGTTTAATTAACACAAAGTTTTTTGTAAGTTATTCTTTTATTATATTTTCCTATATTTTCTTTGCAGAGTTCATGAATAACATCTTAACTTTGGGGATTTAGACTTCAAATAACATACATACATGTGCGCTTGCGTGTAAAACTCAATGAACTTATGTATGCATGCGCGATTTTGCATAAAATTGTCATTGGGTTTTTTATGCCATAGCGTGACAGTGGCAGAGAAACCAAACAAATCCCATTAGAAAAAAAAGGATACTTCTTACTTCCTGAGTAGTAGCGTAATAACAAACAATATTGTATAAGTTTGGAAAATAAAATTATTCATAAACGATAATCAGAGCATCATGAGTGTTATTATTCGTTTACAAAATTTACCATGGTCGGCGAATGCCTTGGATATCCGGCAATTCTTCCGAGGTCTATCAATACCCGAAGGTGGTGTTCATATTGTTGGCGGAGAAATGGGTGATGCTTTTATTGCTTTCAGGTAGATATTTTGATTAAAAACTCAAAAACCTATTATGCATATATTTCTTTAGTTATTAAGATGTTTTAATAATATAAAAGAAGAGAGGTAATAATGGTTGGATGGTTATGTGTGAGTCAATGAAATGGGTAAGTTTTGGTTAGTTATTTCAAGCATATGAGTGTTTGAGATAATATTTATCAATGGGATTCTATAATTGGTCTTAAATTATAAGTTTCAATGACATTAATAACTTATAAGATTATCGAGTCCAATCAAAATACGGCCCTCAGGCTGAAACCTAATATTAGAAGTGCACATATCTTCGTATGCTCCCCTCGTATACACGAAGGTCCTTCCTGACATACCTCGGGGGAGCATCCTACTGTATGATGTTGAAGTTGGGATGACTCCTCCGATGACATCCCAGGAGGAACTGTTTAGTATGTTCCTTGACTGGGAGGACCTTCGTTTTCTCGTGTAGGTGGTGCTCCGAGGTTATTTGCATTCAGCCCATTACAGTCCGTAGGACATCATTTTGACAGCTTTGAATATTTCTCCACTGGGTATCACTCAGCGAAGGAGACCATACTGGAGCAGAATAATTGACTACTGACCGGCCAATTATTTTATAGGTAGCCAACAAGGTTTCTTTGTTCCCAAGCGCTGCCGGCTAGCGCTTGCTCCTCTTCATCCTCATTTTGACTTCCGCAAAATACATAATGCGCTAAACCAATACATCTAGCGTGTCTAGTTGATAGTGTGCTAGCATATCAGTATGGGGGTTGTGGGTTAAATTCCCACTCGAGACTCTGGTCTGCTTCACTACACCGGTCGTAAATTCATAGTCACCCTGCTCGGCAAATTAGGTTAGAATATATCTTGTAATTGTACTGTAATGGACAATATTAAGAAAATTGTCGGTATTAAGGAATCGTACTTTTATTGGAACAAAATAACATCAGTCTAAGACGCAACCAATTTAGTCCATATCTTTGCAATTCATGACTTAATGCCTTGTTCTAGTAAATTAACCCCCATTATCTCAATGTCTGGTTATATTTTATCGTAATGTTAAATTGATAGTTTTTTTTATACAAAAAATATCTACAGGTTAAACGATAACTAGAGATGGGGTAAAAATGTAAAAACTCTTTAAAAATTACAATAAATCAATTTACATCTAAAATATTGAAAATTAACTTTGACCTTTCTTAAACGATTCAAAAATTCATAAGAAAAATCAAATTTTATTATAGAGACCAACAAATACTATAACGGTAAAATACATCAGATAAGTAATCAATTGACGGCTTTCCCATCAAAATTGACGTTTTTGAAATGGCAATTGTGGGAAAATGCGTTCTAGAGGTTAAAGGGGAACCTAGAGATTTTTTAACGGCTGGAGAATCTGTAATTTTCTTAAGTAGAATTATTTGCAATAATAACTAGTTACTAGAACTATAGTTCATATATAAAATGGATTTAGATAACATAAAAAACTCCCTTTTAGTCAAAAATTTTTAATGACAAGACTCTGCTAGGAATAAGTTTAATAAAATACCCCAAGACGAAGCCCTGTATCAATTTTCATTTAGCTATATTATACCCCCTAGTTTGCTCATTATTCGAAAAAATTTTCTGGACTAAATACTAATTTAGTAAATTTGGAGTCCAAATTCCGAATAATTTTATTAAATTAAAATTTGATGCAAAAATTCTATAAAAATTAATATAAAAGAATTTCACATTAAAATAAATGAATTTACATCTAAAATATCGAAAATGAACTTTGACCTTTCCTAAAAATCAAATCAAATTTTATAAATGACACCAATAAAAACTATAACGGTAAAATAAACAAAACACTGTTTTCCCATCAAAAACTGGAATATTTGAAATGACAATTTCGGGAAAATGCATTCTAGAGGTTAGCGGGAAATTTTAAAATTTTTATTTAAATTGACTCAGTTGCAAAGATCGAGGTCATGAAAAATCAACTTGTCTATTATGTAGAAGAAATTTTTTTATAAAACTTAATGTTGCATATTAACCCCCTTATTCGCAAATAAAATTTTTATTTTATAAACGGTTTATAAATTAGATTTTGTGTGGAAATATTGTTTTATAAACCTTTTATAAAATAAAAATGTTGTTTGTGAATAAGGGGGTAAATGTTCTTCTGTTATAAAAAAGTTGAAGTTTTTGTAAAAAAAATACAACATAATTTTATGCAGAATCAACATTAGGTCTGTACATTTACTTTCCCAGTAAATACTTGCAACGAGAGAGTAAAATAATTTTAACCAAAGGATGTTTATTACAAGAATACTCATTTCGGCGTGCGGGTTGTTATGATTTACACGTACTCTTTATGTATCACGACCCACTATTGAAAATTTATCGTATGTGAGATGCAAATTCTATGATCTTTGTTTTAACTTAAGGTTGAAAAACATCCATACATATAGTTTTCTGAATTTCGAATGAAAAATCTCATTTTCAATTGAATTTTTCTAAATTCCAAATGAAAAATCTCATTTTCAATTGGAATTGTCTGAATTTCAAATGGAAAATCTGATTTTCAATTGGAATTTTCTGAATTTGAAATTGAAAATCTCATTTTCAATTTTTGTTTTACGAATTTCAAATAAAAAATCTAATTTTTAACTGTTCTTTTCTGAATTTCAAATGAAAAATCTCATTTTCAATTGATATTTTCTGAATTATAAATGAAAATTCCCATTTTCAATTGCTCTTTTCTAAATTTCAAATGAAAAATACCATTTTTAACTGTTCTTTTCCGAATTTCAAATGAAAAATCTCATTTACAATTGAGTTTTTATGAATTACTGTTGAAAATGGTGTAGTAAAAACTTGCAAAAAAAAAAAAAAATTAATTTTTCAACCATCGATGTTTTTACAAATTTAGGTTTTAAACAAGAATTAAAGCTTCCATATATAGCGAAATAATTTAATTTGCAAACATTTTAATTTTAAAACAAACACAAAATTGTTGGCTGACAAAAAGGTAAACAAAAGACAGCTGTTAAATTTTGTATAGGACAATTATTATTACTACAAAATAGAACTTGTAATAATTTGCAACGAAAGAAAATGTTTACGCTCTTGGTTTTGGCATGGTTTTTGAGTTATTGAATGCTTTTCCAGTAACAATTGTTACTAACTAGTAACAACTTTTAGTTATTGAACAGAGTTATAGTAATGACTGATCACACTTATCATACCCAGAGTTGCTAAAAGTAGGAAAATTTCCTCTGTCGAGAAAATTTTTTACTAGATTTTTATTTTTGTCGATTTTTAAAAAAATTTAAAGTTTTTTCTTTTACGTCCTTAAAAAATAAACTATTTTTATCGTTGTCTATACAACCCAGGAAAAACATACATTGAAAATGAATGAGTTAGGGCCAATCTTTTGGTGAAAGATTAGCGATTAAATTAAAATTAATCCTCGAAAGATGTTTTTGAGTACTCAATTAGTTAATTTTGTTTGCAAGTTTAAGCGCCCAATGGAGGTGGTTTAATCTTAAGCACGAAATGCAAAAGTGTAAACAGCTGATGCAAAAAAAAAAATAATACAATTTTTATAAATATAAACATTAAAATGTTCTATTTGTTGATTAGTATAAATTATGCACACCCAAAATACATTTTTTTTGGTTTTAATTTAAGTTTTCATTAATTTTCATATTAAATTTACAATTGTCTTCTTCTTTTTTATAAAATATGCATTGTTTTGATACAAACAGTGACATTTTCTGTAGTTTTGTATGGCAACACTGCGAAGTTTAATCTTGTACTCAAAAACATCAAAGGGGATTAACATAAGATTAAATTTATTTTTAGATTAACTAATCTGATTAATAATTGGCATTTGATTACCATCTCAAAAACCCGCTCTTAAAAGCTTATATAACCCACTTTTGAACTCATTATTTATCAGGCACGATTATACATAAGTATTCAACACGCTCGATTTCAACAACAGTTGAGTAAGTTATTTTCTTTTACAAAGACAAATAGCCCTTAAGGATATGAACCTTGGCTCTAATGTTTGTTAGTCCGCTGTCGTATTCACACATATCACTGCTTAGTTATTTTATTGGTTTCAAACAGAAGCAAAAAATGGCTAAATAATTATCAGATATGTCCGTAAATACCTTTTTCGATCGTAGCGTAAGTGAATGCGGAAACGTAATCGCAATGCAGATTAGGGGGAATGCATTACGATCGTAATGCAGAATACATACAATCGTAAAGCACTGGAACGAAGTGTAATTGATTCTTCTTTTTCTTACGATTTCCTCCTTTGTTGAATATGTTTTATAACAAATTATCTCAATGTCTGGTTATATTTTATCGTAAGGTTAAATTGACAATTTTCACACAAAAAATATTTTAACCGGCAGAATATCTACAGGTTAAATTTTTAATTTAAAATAATACTGGTAAAAACAAGACAATATTTGCTAAATAGATGTAAAAAAGTAAGTATTTCGGAAAATGAAAGGATAATTATAAGTATAGAAGAAATGTTAAATTACTTTTTATGAAAATAATATATGTAATAGGTTAAAATTCGTATTTCAAATTTCTTTGGAACATCTATTTTTTAACTAAAAACATTTTTAGAATAAATTTTTAGAATAATTTTTTCTTTAAAACTACCTGTAATATATGAGATATCAAATTATATATTAACAAGTAAGAAGTCTATATTCCCTTTGCCGAATCTTATATACCCTTCACCATAGTGTGTTTAAAAATATTAATTTTATAAAATTTAAATTTATTTAATTTTCCCGACCCTGTCATTACTTAAGCAAAACAAAAGAAACAACAACAGCGCTAAACGAATAAAATAGAAAAAAAAAAAAAACAAAATACACAACGCAATGAAACCACAGACATCTAAACATACGAAACAAAATACACAAAAACAAAATACACAACGCAATGAAACCAACAGCATCCAAACATACGAAACAAAATACATAAAA